TAATGATTTCCTCTCTTCTACTTTTTCTGGAAATCCTATTACTTAGCTATTGGACCTCCTGGATTTTCCTCAAATCTTCTTATATTGTTGTCTCCTATTTTCATCTCTCTGTCTCTTGCTCTACTTTTCTTTCTTGAGACAGAGTTTTGCTCTGTTATATGGGCTACAGTGGTGCAGTGGTGTCCTCATAACTCACTATAAACTCAAGTTTCTGGGCTCTTGTGATCCTATGCCTCAGTCTCCTGACAGGGGTGCATCACTAAGCCTGGCTAATTTTTCTATTTTTTGTAGAGATGGGGTCTCAGTATGTTACTCAGGCTGGTCTGAAAGTCCTGGCCTCAAACAGTCCTCAGACTCCCAAAGTGCTAGGATTACAAGTGTGAGGAACTGCACTCAACCATTCTTGGCTTTATTTTCCTCAGCCTTTATATTCCAAATTAACGTTTATTTATTTATTTATTTATTTTTGAGACAAAGTCTCATGATGTCACCCTCAGTAAAGTGCCATGGTGTCACAGCTAACAGCAACCTCAAACTCTTGGGCTTAACTGATTCTCTTGCCTCAGCCTCCCAAGTAGCTGGGGACTATAGGTGCCTGCCACAATGCCCAGCTAATTTTTGTTGCAGTTGTCATTGTCGTTTAGTAGGCCCAGGCCAGGTTTGAACCTGCCAGCCTTAGTGTATGTGGTTAGCACCCTAACCACTGAGCTATGGGCGCCGAGCCAAATTAACTTTTAGATTTTTATTTAAAATGGTTTTTAATATCCAAGATCTCTCTTCTTATTGTTTTTATTTTTATTTTTTTTGTGAGACTGAGTTTCATTTTGTCACCCTTGGTAGAGGGTGTCATAGCTCATAGCAACCTCAAACTCCTGGGTTCAAGCGATTCCCTTGCCTCAGCCTCCCAAGTAGCTAGGACCATAGGTGTTCACCACAATGCCCAGTTATTTTTAGAGATGAGGTCTTGCTCTGGGTCAGGCTGGTCTTGAACCTGTGAGCTCAGATAATCCACCCACCTTGGCCTCCCAAGTGCTGGGATTATAGGTATGAAGCCACCGCCCCCAGCCCTTACTGCTTTTAGAATGTTCCTTTTTTTTTTTTCTTGCAGTTTTTGGCCAGGGCTGGGTTTGAAGCCACCATCTCTGGCATATGGGGCCGGCACCTTACTCCTTGAGCCACAGGCACTACCCTAGAATGTTCCTTGTTAAAAAATATTGCTATTGTTTGCTTTGATCTCTTTCTTAATAAAGGCTTTCTTTAGAAATCTGATAACCTTGATAATTCATATATTTTTTATTTTAAGGCCTAAGTCATTCTATCTCTCCTATCTGATGTCTACTCATATTTAAAAGTGGGGGACTAGGCTGGGTGTGGTAGTTCACGTCTGTAATCCTACCACCCTGGGAGGCCAAGGTGGGTGGATTGCCTAAACTCCTAAATTCAAGACCAGCCTAGGCCAGATCGAGACCTCGTTTCTAAAAATAGACCAGCGTTGTGACAGGTGCCTGTAGTTCCAGCTACTTTGGAGGCTGAGGCAAGATAATCACTTAAGTCCAAGAGTCTGAAGTTGCTGTGAGCTGTGACGCCATAGCACTCTACCAAAGGTGACAAAGTGAGACTAGGCTAGGCGCAGTGGCTCACACTTATAATCCTAACACTCTGGGAGGCTGAGGCGGGTAGATTGCTTACCTGAGCAAGAGCAAGAGCTAGAGCAAGAGCAAGACCTTGTCTCTACTAAAAATAGAGAAAAATAGCTAGGTGTTGTGGAGGTGCTGGTAGTCCCAGCTTACTCAGGAAGCTGAGGCAAGAGGATCATTTGAGCCCAAGAGTTTGAGGTTGCTGTGAGCTATGACACCATGGCCACTCTACCCAGAGCACAGAGTGGGAATCTGTCTCAAAAATAAAAAAGAAAAAAAAAGTGGGGGACCGTATAGTTCATTGGCACTGTGAAAACATGGGTGGGTCTTGTTAACTATGGACTATATTATAGGATTATCTGGCTGGGCCATTTCATTGGGGAAATCCTGCTGTCAATAATCATAAGTGTTTTCAGCTCTTTAGACTTTCAAAAACATGTTCTTTTGGTCTTTCGTCTGAAAGGTACAGACCTGGCTATCAGCATTCTTAAGTACTAAATGGGAAAAGCAGACAGTATATTACTCTCCCTCTTTTCAGTATAGTACCCTGCCCACAACTGTACCACATGTCCCCTAGTCCAGGATGTCTCTGTGTTGCTCTATCTAGAGAAAAACATCTTTGGTCTTTTCTGGAGATAAGAGAGCATCTAGGGATCTATGATTTCTTTTTTCTTTTTTATTTTTTTTTGAGACAGAGCCTCAAGCTGTCCCCCTGGGCAGAGTGCCGTGGCATTACAGCTCACAGCAACCTCCAACTCCTGGGCTCAAGCGAGTCTCCTGCCTCCGCCTCCCAGGTAGCTGGGACCACAGGCGCCCACCACAACGTCCGGCTATTTTTTGGTTGCAGCCGTCATTGTTGTTTGGCGGGTCTGGGCTGGGGATTCGAACCCGCCACCCTAGGTGTATGTGGCTGGCGCCTTAGCTGGGTGAGCTAGAGGCGCCGAGCCAGATCTATGATTTCTTATATAAACTTTCAACCCATCTTCCTTGTTCCTCTGCCCCTCCTTTACTTATAGAAATCTAATTCCTGAGCCTTTCTGGAATTCCCCAATGTAAACAGATTTAATTGTTAGCGTATTTCCCTCTACTGGCTCAGGACTTAGTTTTCTTGGAATTTCAAAGTCATTTAATACATCTAACAGCTCCAAACATTTTGTTGCTGTTGCCTTCTCTTCTATTTTTTCCATCCTTACATAAACTCGTGCCTTATTAATAATTCCTTTACTGTTCTTGTAGTGTTGTTTCAGGAGGAGGTGAAAGTAGACATGTGTTCTTAATCCATCATTTTTACCTAGATATTCCTATAAGGTTTTTATAGGGCCAAAGCTGTCTTCCAACTTCCTATGAATAACAAAATCTTTTAGTGAATTACTCCTTATAAAAGCATATCATAGACAATTAAGCCTATCAAGATACATTTTTACATGCTAAAAGCCTGCTTGCATCTTTTTTTTTTTTAAGACAGAGTCTTATTATGTCACCCTTGATAGAGTGCCATAACGTCACAGCTCACAGCAACCTCAGACTCTCTTGGGCTTAAACAATTCTCTTGCCTCAGCCTCCCAAGTAGCTGGGACTACAGGCACCCACCACAATACCTCGCTAGTTTTCGGTTGTAGTTGTCATTGTTGTTTGGCAGGCCCTGGGCTGGATTCAAACTTGCCAGTTCTGGTGTATATGGCTGGCACCCTAGCTACTGAACTACAGGTACCGAGCCATGCATCTTAATAAAAATTTATGTTTGGTAGCTCTGGGTTCATTGTGTGTCCCAACTGTAGTGTTATTTACCAGTATGAGAAAAATATTTAAGGTTATTAAAATAGTCATATATAAGACAAGTTAAGAAATATAAGATACTCTTATTCCTTAACAGAGAAAAGAGATTTAAGAGAGCTCAAATGAATCAGAAATAATTTTCTGGCTGGGTAACTCCTGTAATCTCACCACCATGAGAGGCTGAGGTGGGAGGATTGCTTAAGGCCGGGAATTTAAGACCAGCCTGGTCTGGCTGGAAATGGTGGCTTACACCTATAATTTTAGCACTCCAGGAAACTGAGGCAGATGGACTAACTAGGCTTAGGAGTTCAAGACCAGCCTGAGCAAAAAGTGAGACCCCTATCTCTACTAAAACTAGAAAACCTAGCCAGGCATTGTGGTAGCCACCTATAGTCCTAGCTACACAGGAGGCTGAAGCAAGAGGATCACTTGAACCCAGGAGTTTGAGGTTGCTGTGAGCTATGATGCCATGGTACTCGACCCAGAGTTCTGTATCAAAGAAAAAAAAAATTAGCCAGGTATGGTGGTATGTGCCTCCAATCCCAGCTACTCTGAGGCTAAAGTGGGAGGATCAGAAGATACACTTGAGCCAGGAATTTGAAAATACAGCGAGATATGATCTTGTCAGTGTACTCTAGCCTGGGTAACAGAGCAAGACCCTGTCTCTCAACAACAATTTAAGACTACTCTCATTTCAGGGAGAAAAAAGGGGGAAATAGTCCAATTCCCTGGGTACCCACACTCAGAAACAGCTCACTTAGACCAATTAATATTCTCAGCTTGTCATGTACTAAGGCATGTATCATTACTGAATAAGCTATATATGTAGTCCTTTAGTTAAAAAATACTTACTTTGTATGTTTCAGTATGTTCCATATCTTTATAATTTATAGACTTGTTAATTAACACACTTTTACGTTGATGTTATTATTAGGGTTTATCATAAATAGATCACGGTTGTCAGACTAGGTTAATTAGATAGCTGTAGCTCAGTGGCTAGGGCGCCAGCCACACACACCAGAGCTGGTGGGTTCAAATCCAGCCCAGGCCCGCCAAACAACAATGACAACTACAATCAAAAAATAGCTGGGTGTTGTGGCGGGTGCCTATAGTCCCAGCTACTTGAGAGGCTGAGGCAAGAGAATCACTTAAGACCAAGAATTGGAGGTTGCTGTGAGCTGTGATGCCACAGCACTCTACCCAGGGCAATAGCTTGAGGCTCTGTCTCAAAAAAAAAAAAAAAAAAAATCAGGGCGTTGCCTATGGCTCAAAAGGGGAGGGCACTGGCCCCATATGCCGGAGGTGGCGGGTTCAAACCCAGCCCTGGCCAAAAAAAAAAAAGAAAAAGAAAAAGAAATCATATAGATGTTTCTTAATTAAGGAAAACAATAAGCAATGGTCTCAACAAACGACTCTCAACCCAAGTCCACTTAGGCAGAAAATCAACACACAGATATTCAGTTAAGAATAGGAGTAGCACCCTGGCTGTAAATTTCCATTCTAAAGGAACCCAAGTTTCAGAATCAAGCCAACATTCTACCAGCCAACCTGGGAAGGCCAGAATAAGGCAATAAAGGCAGTAAGTACCTGCACCGATCCCCCATGGCGATCTGCAGCCAAGTGAGACGTCAGGTATGAGGTATTGGTCTGCCGGCTGGGCTGGATTTCCCACTCTCCTCTGCGCTCTGACGATGTGGTCTGCTCAGGGATTAGGAAGCAAGAGAGCAAGATATGGAAGGAAAGGTGAAGCAACAGCAAGCAATTACTAAATCATGTACATTAGTGTCCTTGCAGGTTTTCTTTTTATTTTGGATTTTAAACTAACAATTGCCGCAAAGCACTGAGAAAAAGTTAACTTGGCTACATTAATTTCAGCCTAATGAGTTACTAACAATCTATAGCATACCATCCTCACCCAGACACAGAAAAACAACAATGAGCAAAAAGGGAAAAAGAAAAAAACTCCAAACTACCAAAAGGTGGAGTCATCTTTCAGTTTTTATATTAGTAAAATTTCAATAGCTAATAAGCAGATCAAACTCAGAATGTTAAGACTGTTGGACAAAGGAACAGTTATACTTACAACAGTCAATTCACTGATTAAAGATCTATCTTAATAGATAGTCAATCTGGAAAATTTCTGCATTAGGAGTCAATTTAATAAGACTTTGCCTTAAATAGGGAGTCTACTACTATAAACATTAACCTCCATAAGACTCTGCATTAAGACAAAACAAACAGTGGCTGGAATATGATTCCTTACTTAAAAGAGTAAATGAAGTGTCTCTTCAAAAACAGGTTTACATGTAAAGAATGTGAAAAGATGAAAGGATAAAAAAGCAAGGCTACATTGTTTACTTAGTTCCTCTAGCTAACAGCTTCTAGTCTGGAATTAGAAAAAAAATTAATTATTGACATACTACTATGAATTATTTTCTTGTAGAAAGCTAAAGGAAATCTGTTCTCAGCAAAAGGAGGCCCTTCCATTAAAAACCTCTTTGGAATCTGCTTTTACTTTTGCTGTCATATAGGCTTTCTTCATTCCTTCTTTACCTGTTTTTTAGATCTCATACTATTCTGATCTTGCTCATATGTGACTTTTGTTCTGAAGAATCTGTTTAGGTGCCTCTTCCCCTGTGCCAGATGGCTGAGGAGGTGTTAACATCATGATGCTCAGCTGTAACAGTCCTAAGGCTCTACAAAAATGAAAAAGGAGTAGTTGGAGAGGCAGCAACGAGGGATTAGTAAATCATATTTTAATTGTTGCTGATATAAACAGCAGCAGGGGTTGAAATGTAATATTGCTGCTCTACATGAAAACCAGTAAGAACTCTATAAATCTTAGAAATGTTCACAGCTATAAGTGTTGTATTCTATAAAAAAGGAGGAATGAGGAAGAAAGGGTTTGAAGCTCTATATACACCACCCTTTCAGTATCTCATTGACAAGAATTGCTTAAACCTCACCCGTAAGTCACCAAAAAGGCATTTCGCATATAAACCAGAGCCTTGTACACTAGCTACAACTTATCTTTATTAGCAAAGTATGAAGTTACATGGGTAACACAGCACTGTAAAGGATCCTGGCCATATTTTCTCTGATATTCCTCAGGGAATAAGCATAATTATAAGGAGGCAACTATATTAACTTACTTGCTATATAATTTTATAAATGAGGTTTTATAATGCTAGCACATCAGAGAGAATCAAAGCTACCCAAAATATTTCCCCCCTTCCAATTATTTCTGCCAGCAGTAATTAATTTGTTTCATTTCCCCAAATCAGACTGTGATACACATATACATAACACAATCATACTATTTTATAAACTTATTGACAATGTCCATATATTCAGAACTCTTAATCTCATTTATTCTGACTACTAAAAATCTGTAAATAAATTTATTTTTGTTTGCTTTATTTTTCTGTAGAGACAGACTCCAGGTCTTATTTTGTCACCCAACCTAGAGTGCAATAGAGAGATCACAGCTCACTGTAAACTTGAACGCCTAGGCTCATGTGATCCTCCTGCCTCAGTCTCCCCAGCAGCTGGGACTATTGGTGTGCATTAGCACACCCTGGTTATTTAAAAAAAAATTTTTTTTTTTTTTTTTAAGAGATGAGGTCTCACTATGCTGTGCAGGCTGGTATTGAACTCCTGGACTCAAGTGATCCACTTACCTCGGGCACCTAAACTGCTGAGATTACAAGCATGAACTACCTGTGCCTGGCCTAGTCTTCTAATATTAGAATTATCTATAACGACATCTATTAGCGACAGCCTTTACAGTTCTCTCCAGAACTGATTTATTTGAATATTTAAATAGAATATTGGCTCGGCGCCTATAGCTCAACCGGCTAAGGCGCCAGCCACGTACACCTAAGGTGGCAGGTTCGAATCCCCAGCCCGG